CTTATGATGAGAGTTTACAGTTATGATCTCTCTCTCTCTCTCTCTCTCTCTCTCTCTCTCTCTCTTTCGTCTTGATGTTTCCTGTATTTATTTATATTTAATATTGGGCACGTTAATATTCCTGAACTGTTAGTATCTTGAGATGATGAAATTTTACAATAATTGTCGAAGACCAACTATAAATCTTTTCTCTTCTTTTTGTCAGTAAAAATTGTAATATCAATTGATTTCCATTTTTATGCATTGGCTGATGTATTTACTCAACTTATTTACCAAATGGACTTTAAATACTGGTATAAAAAACTAAAGAAAATAAAAACGTAAATATTCATGTATAATTCTACATGGAAAATTAAAACATATAATTAATTAATTGCTTTAATAAAAAAAAGAAAATAAATATATAGATAATAAATACAACCTGGAGAATTAAAATAAATAAATATTAAATAATATTTTAATAATCATAATAGATTTACATAGCAAATTCACACGTTTTGCTTGTATGTACAGTGTTTGGATTTATATCGAATTAAATCAACACGTTCGATCTTATATCCCAATCGACAGATCAATATGCTATTTTGATTGGTTGATGCGCTGATTGGTTAATCGCTAATCCTGATTGACAGCTCTGTAAAGAAATACCGAACCCGCGTTCGCTCTCTGAAACCGCTACTGAATTTGGGGTTCGCTCTCAGGGTCCATTTCGGGTTCGCTCGGGGTCCGCTACGGGTTCGCTTTGGGTCCGCTCCGGGTTCGCTAGGGGTCAGCCCTAGCGGACCCCGAGCGAACCCGGAGCGGACCCAGAGAGCGAACCCGGGGTCCGCTCCGGGTTCGCTTTCTGTTAGGTTGTGTCCGGTCGGTACTGTAATCCCTCTAAAAGTTTACTTTTTTAGCAGCGTCTGGTCAGATATGTCAACCTTTTGATCTAGAGATAGGATTTTATGTAACCAATAACGTGAAAAAAATCTATACGTGTATTAACACTATCAAAAAGAAAAAAAGAGAAAAAAATATCATACAAAGGTTTCTTTCCTAATATGTTTAGCAGTAGAATTTGATGATTTTGCCGCAACATTAAGTGTTACTAATATTTTATTGGAATATTATCATAATTCGGCAGATTATAACCGGTACGTTCAATAAAAGATTAAGAAAACAAGTATAACAACAGAGCTTACGGTCCTCAATCATACAAATGCTGATACGAGAGAAGAAATTAAAGGCATAGGGACATCGGATTACTTTGGAAATATTAAAGTTTAAAAGCAATTTCATTTTAGATAAATTATTATATTTATATTTGCTTTAATTTATTTTAATGGAGGTTAATATGTTCGTAGACGTTTCAAGAAAATTTTGATAATTTGCATTGCTATCATAAAAGGTATTTAAAAAATACGTCTTCAGAATTTTTAATAACTGTTGAATCTCTGTTGATTTTCGCGGTTTGAATTTGTGCGATGTGTAAAGAATTAAAAAAAAAATAGCGCCACAATGCTGTCACATTAAGATCATTATAGATCAAAGACATTTGCACAACTGTGTACATGTATATTAGGAAAACTCTAATTGAAATTCTTTTCAATTTACTTTTTTTTTTTTACAATTGATGTTGTAAATTGATTATTTCTGTAATGGGGACCTTTATGTTTTCTGCAATTATTTTTCTCAGACCCTATCAATGTTATTCAACAAGAAAACATTGATGTAACCATCAATTGTCGCCCGGGAAATATATAAAGTAAACAATGAAAATGAGCCTTGATCAACAAACCGCTTCGATATGTGTAAAAAGGCATCCGTCTAATTGATGGAGACGATAGTCGCAAATTGTAAAAAAAAAACTTGTAGTCGGATAAAAATCAATAAAAAACGATACCATTTTAAACTTGATCAATTCCTCAAGTAAATGTTGGCTGCATAAAATATAAATTGAAGTTAGACACACGCATCATTTATATTTAAAAATGTATAATTTTTCAATTTTAAAATATATCACACGAACTGTGCAAAGTACGTTTTTATCCGAGACGTAAAATTCGATGTTCTAAAAAAAAGGGGCCTGTCGTTGTTTCGATAGTAAATGATAAGTAACTTTATATATTAAATATGAAAAACACATATTTCTACAGATTCACTTTATGGACGTAATTTATAAACAGAAAGAACATTCTGATTAACAATCTTTTCAATGTTTAGAAAACCTTTAAATCTATGTAACTACTCCCACCCCAATCCCCATACACCAGCACTTAAACTTATATGTATAGAGCAGCCCGGTCCTCCGGGCTGCAATTATGAAAACAGTCACAGCATATGTTTCCACCTCTCTGATAATTGTAGATTTTTTGAATTCCAAATTTCAGTAAGGGTGTTAATTTGTCTCCAAATAGAGTTATTTAAGAAAATGTAAAAATAATTGGTACTCGTCTTCTACTTCATCTTAAGAGCGAAATAACAATATCTATCTTCTAATGATTCTATTTTTTAACTCGTACGTTTTAGAGATACAACCCATAAGATAAACTTGAGCTTTATCAACGTGTAGATTCTTTATCAATAGCTCTTCCGGTTTTGACACAATCCGTCGCTTCATGATTTTATTTTATTGAAACTTTTATTTGTGAAAATCATTGCTCCATCAAACTGAATTATAAAGAGCGATAATATTGTTAAAAGCAAGACAAAGACTCGTATATGTATTTGTCAAAGGAGTGTCTTACTTTATCAAGGAACCTGTTAAATTTATGATATTAAGGCTCTTCAACAAAAGGTGTAAATGATATTATTTCTTTCTCATCGTTCAATACTAGATATTTCTATGAAAAATATAAGCACAACAAATTGTGTTATATTGCCATACGTGTAAGAATATAATGAAAGCATGGTATGAGAGTGGGAGAGAGAGGTGTATATGTCTTCCAATTACACACATATATATAGATAGAATATTGACATCTATATTTGAGCAGTACAAATTTTGTGTTCTTGTTTTTAGAGCATTTTGACTGAAATCCTCGATTTTTAAAATTCAGATTGACTCTTTACTTGTTAATTTAATGGGTAATTAAATTGAATATATTTATCCCCGACTTAGAGATTAACAGAAAGAAAAATTAAGACAGACTTATACCACATTAAATTAAATTTTGATTCGATTATCGGATCATTATTTTTCATCACTTAAAGAATTTTCGCTTTCTAAATCTAATTTGAAAACTCAAAATAAATTTTATCTTATAAAATTATGATAATTATTTAGACACTCTTTTCTAAATCTAAAATCAGTTAAGCAATTTAGGAAACACTTTAAGACAATGGAGCCTATAACCAATATAACAAATAATAAATTTATTCAAAATATTGTTAAAGGAAGATATCTGATTATAAACTAATAAGCATTGAAAAAAAAATCGCTGAATTGAGACTAAAGAGTCACTGCTGAGAGGGGTGGACGGGTCACTGAAGGAAGAAGGGAATGTGGCTGATTGGCCACTGAAAAAATCATTGAAAGTCGCCTTTCAGTTTTAATTGGAAGGTCTTGTTTCTTCCTGTGATGTTCAGAATTCATCGATTCAAATAATGAATAAATTAATTACCTCCAATTACTTTCCTTACTTTATTTTATGTTGAAAAAAAGACAAAAACAATTCTATATGTATTCATATGTACTTTGATTTAGCGATTTTATGAAATTAGAAGTTGTCTCTCTTAGGTCACAACATTGCATATAGGCTTTTTTATCATGTTTTGGGCATGAATTAATAATTTTGAAAACGTCAAGTGTATTTTAACAATATAAATACATTTCTTACGCGTTCTAATGCTTTAGTATAAAATCATGCAGATTAAATTTAGTAACGGATTGACAAGCATGATGACTATATTCCTTACAAGGCAAGACGGTATACCCTACCCCCTTTAATACAAAAGATCAAATGCTTGGACCATGCAAACCGATTAACTCAAATTCAAAATTTCATTTACTGTAAGATGATTTTTATAATAAACCATAGCTTATAGTTTGAATTATCTGAAATTGGTGATGCAGTTTAAAAAAATAAAATTTATTTGCATACTGGACTGTTTAATACCTTCTGCTCTGTTTCAGCGAAATATGTAAAGAAGCATGAAATTGCCTTGCGATCATGGTGTGTGAGGATTTATATTTTCATTCAGAGTAGACGTTTTTTTTCTTATAATTTGAAATAAATTAGTTTTTTAAGTTTATATGTACTTTATTCTTGTAGTAAAAATGTTAACCAATTCTATAATTTTTAGACATAAGTATGATTTAAAATCTTATCTCTACAGAGATTATTGAAAAGACGTGTTCATTGAGACATTTTCAACAAAACTGTAAAATTTTAAGATAAGGGACAGCTCAACCTCATCATTACCTTCGAAATTTAATTGATTTTTTTATTTTCTATTACATTTGTGGTATGTGAAATATACAGTTGAACTTTTGTATCTCGAATTCCAATATCTCGAATACCATGGATATGTCGAATGATTAGGAAGTCCCAACCACATATTCTTTAAGCATTTAACCTTCGATATCTTGAATCCTCTGGTGTCTCGAATTTTTTTCACAGTCCTATCAGGTTCGAGATAACAAAGTTTGACTGTATATTGAAAGGAAACAAAATGTTTCGGAATAGTGTCATTATATTGTACTAGAAGGTACAATCATTTTCACAACTTTGATGACAATGAAAAATGCATTTAATATTTGAAAAATATTTTAAAGGAAAACAACCTATCATCCTAGAAATAATTAAGACAGAGTATATTATGATATGTGAAGCAGGCAAGTAAATATAGTACAGTGTTTGAAAGGGGAAGTTTCAACTAGCCAAAACAAAACTTCGACAAGGGAAAAAGGAGATAAAGAGGCTCATGAGCAACAACACTAACACCAGTTACTCTTTACTGATGGTTTTGATTTTTGACATAAGAGAGAAAATATAATTATAAAAACGTCGTAACGATTAGACCATATAAACCGAGGTCACAGTAGATTCTGGCATGACAAACATTTCTCGCTGCTCAATGGCCCTGAGTGCCAAATATAGCTTAAAAATTTGTAGCTCTCCACTGGTAAGTGGTGACGTCTCCATATAAATTAAATTCTCTAGAAGGACGTTAAAGAAAAAACAGACAAACAGTAACTTGAAAATTTTATGCTGTTTTTTTTAGTTGAGGCTTGATTTTACAGCTGAAAATTGTAAATTGATGATGCCATTAGAAATACTGATGAAATGAATCAATTACAAGGACACCGCAAGGTGAAGCACTCCCTCGATAAGAACATATCGAACCCGATTCAAATCTCATCACTTCCGTGCGTTCAGAATTAGCTAACTCACCAGTACACAAACACGTATAATTCCTTTACTACATCCCCTTCTTCTCCGGTTCGGGGGGATAAAAACGAGGTGGATACAGGTACTTGACAAGTTGATCTGTTACAACAGGCACTCTGGGAATAATGCTCCATGTCCCATCTATCAGATCCCAGTTATTTCTATCTTTAATGAAAGTTGCCAGTTTTGAATTTGTTCTCAGAATGACCTCATTAAATTCAAAGTAATTTTGCAATTCCTCCTTGGGATTATTCTTCTCCCCAGTCTTGGGATTATTCTTTGCTTCATCATTGAGGAACTCTTTCTTCTTTTTCTGTTTGGGATTATGCCTACCTTCAGCTGTGGCATCATTCTGTCCATCAGCCTTGGAATCTTTCTCATTTGCATCCTTAGATTCTTTCTTTCCTTCCTCTGTTTTCTTCTTTTTTTCTATGGAATCTATCTTATTCTGTAAACTTTTCAGAGTATTACAAAAATATTTGATGAAAGTGCAAGGTCGAAGAGCTGATGTGCCCGGTATCTCCTCTGCATTATGTTTTATCAGATTTGGATGCCAGTTATATTCTCCTTCAATAAAGATAGATTTGTAATGTAAGTATTTCTGTTAATTCACTTTTAACTCTTTACAACTTACTGAACTGGTATGCAACATACACTTAATGTTCACGTCATAGAAATTGAAGTTTACCCTTTCCCCGCAAGCACTTTTAAGTGGATACACGTTTCTTTCAAGTTTAGCATAAATAATATAATGGCGTTATATTTATATGCAAAAATAACTTTTCTTATTTTATAAGATTTTTGCAAGTATGAAATAAAAGGAAATTGGCATTAAATTTGAGATTAAATGAACTTTTTAAAGTGCTCGAAATTGCGTGATTCCGTGGAAACGGTGTATGCGTGATTTTGCGTTAGAAATAGGAAATGGTATATGCGTTGAAATGCGTGATTGCGGGGAAGGGGGTTAATTGAACATTAAAATAAAAATTTTTGGATATCATGCTAGACCTTAGAATAGGAAACTATAATTACTTATTTTGAACACCCTGGTTTCAAAGATAAGTGTTTGTTTATTTTAGTTTGTGTATATTTTTAATTTAATAATCTCAAATTGATCCGTTCTGGTAAAACTGGGAGTGGTTTAATAAAAAACCATATTATTTATAAACTTTTGCCCAAGTGAAATTTGAAATTTATAAAAAGGCCCTGTACAGATCTAGAGCATGACCAACCTGAAATGTTTGATTCATAGATTAGAACATCTGCTTCTCGAGGCCAAAGAGGCGAAAGTTGATGAGATCTGCCATCTACTTCAGCAAATAGATGCTTCCCAACATGTTGTAAATCAATGTCACATAACTTAAATGTATATTCAAAAAAAGGAATGCAATCAGCATACGGTGTATAAAAAACACTGCAACACTATCGTTTGAAATAATGAATAATTCAGCTTTGGACATGACATTTTTTTAATTCTTCTGTCTGAATCAATTACATATGCTTCAAATTACCATGCAGCACAATGCTACGTGTAGCAGGGGTCAGTATGCTCTCTTTGACGCAATTGAATAATTTGATTTAGTCTGTGAAACAACTTAAATGAATTGTTCGCTATTAGGTCTTAAATTTTAAAAGAATGAGATACAGTTTTAATGCATTGAATTCTAAAGTCTTTCGCACTGATATTAACATTAAATCAATCTGAATTTAACTTCTTTAATATCTACCTGAACAACGAATAACTTTGGCTTAAGTCGAAGGGCTGCACGAGATTGGAATTTCCTTACTACTCTGGACAATGGAATTTTGTTGCCTGTGATGTCATAGAAAAAACCCTGTCCTCCAAACGCTAATACAACACATACAAAGATTTTGCATGCTTTGAAATATCCTTCAAAGATAAAAGATATAGCACCTCAGGCATCTTTGGTAGTTAGCATCACTAATCACTTAGCCCATGCTAAGTTTGCTTATAAAAGGGCTTATAAAAGTTTTCCAGAACTGATTCTGAAGATTATTTTATTTTGATATTTATGTTTTTAAAGGCAATTCCACTAACTCCCTTACCACAGTTTTTGCTGATGTATTCTTCTACATCTTGAATCACGCAATTTGTTCCATTTTTCCCTTGTATTACTTTTGTATCGTAAATTGGCTTTCCAAAAACATCTTGTAGTTCCTTGACCTCTGCCTCAGCACCGGTTCGAAATTTTTGTATTGAATGTCCACCTCCTATTGTCTTCATAGTTTTGTTAATGTTAATTATAAGACAACATCCAAAATCACTGCTATCAAATGTATAATTTTCATCATTGACTTGTTGATGTAAAGTATGTTTCTTCTCTTCGGTTGTCATTATCAACTCTCCAATCAACTGTTATATGTACCTGTTACGTTATCACAATACAAAAAGAAACTAAAATCCAATTCAGAGAATCAAGTTGTTTAATTAATAAATGGCACTATACTTAGACTGATGTAGAAAAATCAACAATGATAAATATTATCTTGTTTTTTTTTAAAATTGTTTTGTGATATGAAACTCGAAACATCTCAATAAAATAGCATTTAAATTTCATTAATTGAGATTCAGTAACTCATTTTATTCAAATTGAATTCAAAGCATTCAAAGCATTAATATCATTTATTTTCATTGGATTGCTATAGAGAATCTTTAAATTGCCATACTTGTGCTCCAAACTCTAATATATTTTCTTTTTTTTTTTGCATGTGACGTTATGTTTTTGAGAAATATGTTTGAAACGCTTTCTGTTGTTCAAAGGGGCGTTGTTGCAACCACTATTGAAATAACGACCACTATTGAAATAAATATATCAATAATGGTTGAGATTGCATGTAAATAGCAAACATAGTTGGTAACCACTATTGAAATACAAACACTATTGAAATAATTATATCAGTAGTGGTTGAGCATGTTGAGAGAGCATTTCAATAACAAACATAGGTAATAACCACTATTGAAATACGACCACAATTGCAATAATTATTTCAATAGTGGTTGAGAGTGCATTTCAATAACAAACATAGTTAATAACCACTATTGCAATACGACCACTATTGAAACTATTATTTCAATAGTAGGTGAGAGTATATTAAACATTTGGGGGGGGGGGGGGGGGGGGTAATGTAATCTACAGTAATCACACGTAATCATGATTACATGATGGAAAAGTAATCAGATGTAATTTATTACTTTTAAGAATGGCTGTAATCAGCCTGTAATCGATTACTTTTAAATCCAAAGTAATTGTAATTTAATCGATTACTTTTGAAAGTAATCGATCCCATCGCTTCCAGCCACCCATGTTTATTTCATATTCCCCACCCACTGACATCAAAAACAAAGATAGCCGTACGAAATTGACACACAATGAAGGCTCGTGACCTTTCACCTTGAAAATTTTACATTCTGGTTGAACATCCAAAATCATTTCACCTGAATTGCAGAGAGTTTTTACATAGAAAATAATTAGAACTAGAGGTACTGTGAGCAATGAGCTCACTAAATGATACCCCCTCCCCTCCCCCCGCCTCCCATAATGTCCATGTTTTGCTATATATTGTTTGACGGTAATGTGTAAAGAGGAATAACTCGTCGTATCAAATGTTATTCAGAAGCCGCTATATATGTGACATCATAGGTAAGAATATAATGGCAATGTCCATGTTTTGCAATGGGAAACCTAAAATACGTGTCAAATAAAAAGGTAAAATAGGAGGTGCACAATGGCAACATGTGAGAAAAATTCTGTGAAAGTTTCATTAAATTCCACTGCATAGTATAAGAGGAGTGCAGATACATATATGTAAGAGAAGGGTACCCCAAAGCGTAACAGACGGACGGATTGACGGACAGACGTATAGACGGACGGACATAACGATTACTATACACCCTCCCACTTTTCAAGCGGGGGGTATTAATATAGATATAAAATTATCATGTGTTTATCATAGTCCTTTCAAAAGACAATATTAAGCCTTCAATAACAGTGTGAATGATTAATGAACTTTTTTTCCCCAACTTACATGGAAATTTTATTTCGGAAAGCAAATGCAGTTAAATTTTGATAATTATCTGACTGACACTAGCAAATGAAATTACTTACAAATGCATTATTTTTTTTACCTTATTGTTTATGTTTTATTTACATTTGACTTGCCTAGTTGATAAACCAATAAAAACACTCAACTCATCAATGAAAGTAAGAAAAATAGTTTGAGATCAATGAACTGTAGTAAACAAGAGGCCCAGGGGCCACAACACTCACCTGAGCACATCGGCAAGGAAAAGGCACATATCAGGTCAGAACTAAGAGTAAACTGAGGTGGGGGCTTGAATTTTAACCCCCCAGAGGACCATGATTTGAACAAACTTGAATCTACACTACCTATGAATAATTTCACATACGCTTCTTCTTTCCTATCTCAATGGTTCTTGAGAAGATTTAAAAAGAGATTTCCTATATATTCCTTTGAAAACTTTGATCGGCCATTTTGGCCCTACCCTACCCCCGGGGGTCATGATTTGAACAAACCTGAATCTACACTACCTAAGGATGATTCCACATGAGTTTCATGTTTCCTGGTTCAGTTGTTCTTGAGAAGATTTTTAAAGAATTTTCCTGTATACTCCTATGTAAAACTTTGATACGGATACTTTGATACGGGGTCATGATTTAAACAAACTTGAATCTTCACTACCTGAGGATGATTCCACATCATGAGCTTCATCTATCCTGGCCCAGTGGTTCCTGTGAAGAAGATTTTTTAAAAATGCCATTAATTTTTTCTAATTCATAATTATCTTCCCTTGGAAAAGGGCGTACGTGGCCCTAGATTTGAACAAACTTGAATCCACTTAACCCAAGGATACGGACAAATTTTGATCAGAAAAGCTCACTTGAGCCTTTGGCTCAGGTGAGCTAATAAGAGATTGATCAAATTATCTAATGAATTAAATTATTAGATAGACTAGTCTCTGAAATACAGGTATGAAAATAAAAACTAAAATAAAAAGCACAATTAGCAAATAGTTAAGGTTTCATCTTAAAAAAAAATCTTATCAAAATTACACTAGTGAAATAAATGTCACCAAAATTACCTCGATATTAAATACACTTACTTTAAACTGACCAGATGTTCAAAAGTTTACAAACCGAAAGTACATTCAACGAAAATAAATAACATACAATTACAAGTCATGCACTAATAAGCAGTCATTTCCCTGGTTTCCTGGTTCACTGATCGTATCTTTATTATCTATGAGATTTTTTTTATAGTTGAAATAAGAAATATATATATACATGTATATATATATATATATATATATATATATATATATATATATATATATATATATATATATATGATTATATATTTACACATTGTCTGTTAGTATTTGTAAGCATGCGATTGCACAAAACCAAACCAAAAAAAAGTGTCCATGATATATTGCCGATCACTTGCATCCATGAAATCAAAGGGTCTCGTGTAGGATATGGTTGCCTTTTTGGGCTTTGGAATACATCCTTTCTCTCTTATACTATAGTAATCCTCCCGTTCAATATACAAGTATGTAAATATTATCTGAAGAAAAAAAACATGGATTAACAAGGGGCACCATTCATCTTCATTGTTATGCATTTAGTTTGCTTTAAATTCAGGGCTGAGAAGATTTTTAAAAGAAATGTGGATGCATCATCACTGTATATCAACAGAGCCCTGTCCAGTAGCACTGGAACCCCTGAATTTCATAAAGCCTAG